TTGTTTCAAATCACTCAAGCCTCAAGGGCTCTTTGGTACCTTGTGCTGGGCATGGAGCATAGAAGGCAGCTGGGTGTCCCTGTTTCATGCAAAACAATTTAATAGACCGAGGAGACTCCTCTGGCCTTTATCTTGTCATTGAGGAGCCTCCTTCTGTCTTTACAGCATCACCCTGCCTGAGTGTATGAACAGAATCACAAGATGGGCTTTGGGACTGGTAGATCTGGGTTCAAGACACTCTCTGTGTTGCCTCTGGCTATGTCCCTTGACTTTTTGTCACTATTTGTTCATATCCTACATATGTTAACAAAGAAAGCCTTATGGGTTTTCTGGAGTCACCAACTAGGCAAGGCAAGCCACCATTATCCAGCACACTGCTGTCACTGATACAGCTGACACTCCACAGATGGACTTCTCCCCAACTCCCAACTCCTTCCAGTGGTGCTCCAGGGCCCAATGGCTTCCCCAAACTCAACTTCTTGCTAAGTTCTTTTGTTTCATGGGATCTTGGAACAAGCTGCAGTAGTGCATAGCTCTCTCCTTGGGGGACCTTCAGAACCAGTCTCATCATGGAAGTCCCTATTTTCTTTTCAAGTTTCTTACTACCTGTCCCCATCCCAAATCACAGCACTCTCCTCACAGTACTTCAAAGGTCTGTGCATCTCCCACCAGGCTGTCCCCTAATTGTGTAAGTCTTCCTACCATTCTCAGCCTTAGTTTTTTTCATACACAAAATGAGGCAATAATCCTTGAAGCTCACTGTGGTCTAGGTTTATGGAAAAGCAACACAGTGCCCAGCAGACAGCAGGCACTGAGATTCTGGAGCAGAACTTTTTCTGCCAGGCTCTCAGCAACAGAAATAGATGGTGCTAGTTATAAGCAGGACCTCCTCAGGACACATGGCCATGCCCTGGCCATCCCTCCCCCAAGCCATAGATAAGCTACACAGACAGATGGTATGTGCAGAGGATTCACATTTATTGGTTCAAATACAGTACCTAATGCTTGCTAAACATGCATTTCACACTAATTGGTCACATTTCCACAGGTAGTCAATTCACAGAACAGGGCCCACCCCTTGCCAGCAAGCAAGTGTGGGAGGTAGCAAAGGGCCTGAGTAGCCTGCAGAGCCCGGCAACTAACATTTGGTCATGCAGGGTTGATGGAGCCAGGCTGGCAGACAGCCCTTGGCCGGCCCTTTGGGAACAAGGGCTCAGAGACATCCTATTCATCCGATTCCTGCTTCAGACCGTGGGAGGACTGGGAGGTAGCCTAAGACAGGCTCATGAGCACTTGCCATCAAAGCTCCTGAAATCTAAGCTATGGAGCATAAGAAGGCCTCTTCCAGGGGTGGCTTGTTCGTAGCTGGGCAGGTGGAAAGAACTCCCCAGACACTGCCCAGACAGTACAATACAACCACAAGCCCCTATCACAGGCCTGGGATGTCAACACAGACAAAAATACTAACAGTCCAGGGTTTCGTTCCCGACAGAAACATGTAAACACACAGGAGCTATTCTTTTCCCACAGACTCCTCAGAGGGGAATCCTTTAGGATGTCACTTAAGACTCAAGAGGTAGTTTTTTTGTTTTTGTTTTTTCATGGAAATTAGAGTTAAAAACATTATCATCTATTATATTTCAGCGAAGAAAAAGGTCACCAAAGAGCAAGAGAAGCATTTGGCTAGCAGGGCTAGCTTCAGGATTTGGAAGACTAGCCTCCACCAGTAGCACATTTTTCTTGGGTTTGGAGCAGGCCCTGGCCTTTCCCAAAGCTTCCATTTAAGCCTACAACTGATAGCCAAGCAAGCTGGGGTCTACTTAGGACTACAAGCTGAGAAGAGGGCTTGTCCTGGGTAGAAGGGCCAGACTTCCTATGAGCACCATTGAGGCTCATGTGTAGGATGGTCAGAAGTCTTGAGGAAGCCCAGACCTAGCCCAAGAGGCAGCTTGCTTCTAGCTCAGTAGACTGGGGTTGCTTCCTCTGAGGAAGTGGTCAGGGTTTGACTTTCAAGTCCAGAAAAAATGTTACTTACAGCAGCCAAGAGCAGGCTTTCTGGGGATCCTGTAATTAAATACACATCCCTGAGCTGTGGCCCCAGAAGCGGCCCGCTTCAAGGCTGACCAGTTTCCAGCACCTGGTGGGATGATTGCCATTTTTCATCCTAAGACACAGATAAAACACTACTTCATGGACACCCTGGGCATGAGGAAAAGGGAGGGGGACCAGTGGCAGAGAGGCATGTGGATATTCCCATGGACCAAGGTGGGGGGATTCAGTTAGTGGGTTTTTCTTTCTTTCTAAAATTTTAAAAAGCAATAAAGAAAAAAAAAATCAAAGTTTAATAGAAGGGCTTGTCTGAATGGCTGAATTTCTTTAAAACTGCAATTAAAAAAAAAAAGAAAAGAAAAAGTAATAAGCAAAGACCACAAAGAATAGTGTTCCAAAGACAGAGACACAGAATGTCTGCTCACTTTCTGCTCTATGGGAAGGTAGGACCCTTTACTTTGGCTAACCTTGGACACAACTTAAAGACTGCCTGTGGTCTATCTGTCCCATTATTCAGGAAGTCAAGAACAAACAAGAGAGGTACAGGGCAGGAGGCTAGACAGCTGACTCAGACCATGGCAACACGTACTTCCCTGAACAAGTTGGGCAGTTGGTCAGAGACAGGCTGTTAAATGTGGAGTGGGCAACCTCTCTTTATATTCTCCTACCCCTCCTGGTTCTATCATCAGCCCATCAGGATAGGGTGGTTCATTCCTGGCCACTTCAGCTGTAGGTTGGCCCTGGGGACAGGGTGATCTAAGCCAGGTGGAGTGCTTTGAGATGAGTTGTAGGAAATTTCTCCAAACTAAGGGTGAGACCACTAAACCCTGCAAAGGACACTGAAGGTCTCCAAAGGGAACCAGAGAACGGGAATTACAAAGCTCCAAGACTCCAAACTTTTGTCTTGGGTCAAGCAAACACACAAGAAAAAAGGAAAAGGAAGGGGAAGCCTCTATGTTTTTGGCATAGTGCAAGAAGATGGATTCTTCTTTTCCACATGGCTTTTAGGACTACATTTTTCATGGTAGAAAAAAAAACCTCACTCAAAATGAGTACTTTTAGTGGCTAGTACCAGAGAGGAAAAAAGAGAGAAGAATGAGAGAATGCACAAATTTTTCCTTCTTCCACTAGCAAAAAAGGCAGCCTGTTAACCAAACATTATGGGGAAAAAAGGCAAAAACAAGCACACCAAACCTCCCCCTTCAACTTTTCTCTGTGTCCTTCAAACAAAAATCACAAATACATCTAGTGGCTGACCTAATGTCTCCACACTGCCAGCTACACTCCTACCTTCTCCTCATAATACCTGAGTTTGCAATGCAGTACATTCACTTTACCCTGTTTAAAAGAAGCCCATGTCAGAAAAAGACTGGGTGCAGAAGACATTAAAGGCGGTTCACAGGTCAGGCTCCAGCTCAGAACACACAGCCACTTGGCTCAGAGATTCTGCAGGGCTCTTGGCAATGAATGGGCTCTTTGTTCTGTGGAATCTGCTGCAAACATTTGTAAAAATGGATTTGTACAATGGCAACTTGCAGAACCTTTCCCTCACTCAACAGATTAACAATTTGCTCTGTTTAATACTACATTATTGGAGAGACATGTTCTTGCCTCATCAGAGCTTTGACAGTCAACATACCAGATAAAATGCTAATTTGAAAAGCAATTTCAAAAACAATTTGACAAATGGAGGTCTAAGCAAAGAAAGCTGCTGCACACAGGCACTGTCTCTAAGAGGTTGTCTCTTAGAGGAAAGCAGCCGAGACTCTGACTTAGAGCCAAAGAATGTGGTCTGGTTCTTTAAATACAAAAATTCAGGCAATCAAGATATTGTGAACTTAGAAACAAACAGACACATCAACACATACATATCTTCCCACCAACAAAAAATATTCTGTTCGGAGCTTTACTGAGGAACACATCTCTTTTTTTGTTTCTTTCTCAGAGAGGGTGGGGAATAAGACTGAGAAATAAAGCTCTGAACTTTGGACATCAAGGGACATTAGGTGTCACTTTGCTGGTACCTGTAACATTTTACTAGAGAGAAAAGCTCTAGTGAAGACTACCTAGGATGTACAGGAAGTGATAGCTTCCTGAGTAAGTGAACTAGGCTTCATGGGGGGGGGGGGAACAGTTCCTGACCAAATAGGCTCAAGAAGATACTGTGGGTGTGGTATGCCAGTCAAGGAATGTAGCCGGTGAAGCATCCATCTGGGGTACTGGCTGTAGTTAGGCATGGTGTGGCCAAAGGAAGTAAAAGCAGCTAAAACAACTCTACAAACTTGATGTAGTCCTGGTCAAAGTCTGGAGGGCAAGAACTCTTCCTAGAATTATGTGGGGCAGGCAGTAAACCACAATGGCTCCTGACTGGGTCTGCAGAGGCAGTAGGAAGCCCTTAGACACAAGTACCCCTTCCAGGTACTTCTGGCTCCATCCCTCTAGGCCTTGGCAGATCAGACCACTGATGATAGTTGAAGGAAGACCTGGACTTCTCTGGGTCTTGGCTTTCTGTTTAAGAATCTTAGTAAAATGATCTCATTTTAGAAATAATAGGAGAGTTTACAACAAAATTTAGGAGCCAAGTCTCTGGTTTTTTCTACTATTTAAAAATATTAAACAGGTAGTGGTGGCACACACCTTTAATCCCAGTACTTGGGAGGCAGAAACAGGAAGATCTCTGAGTTTGAGGACAGCCTGGGCTACAGAGTGAGTTCTAGGACAGCCAGGGCTACACAGAGAAACCCTGTTTCAAAAAAAAAAATAAACCAAAACCAAAACCAAAACCAAACCAAACCAACAACAAAATACAAAAACAAAACAAGTTTTGGATTTGGTTCTGAGGATAAGGTGGGGTGAAACACGGGCTTCCAAAGGAGTCTATTCTGTCAGCAGCCTGGTCTTTGTCCCTCTATCCTTTGAGGGAAACAAATGAAAGGAAAACAAATCAGAAATGGTATCAGAATTCAGAAAAGTGCATTTTCATGTCACATTTCTAGAGGACAGGGAGTCAAATTCATAGGAAAGAGGGATGGAATCTGAAGAAGGTTGTCCAGGAAAATGGGCAGCTGTGAGCACCAAGGAAGTTGGGAGGCAAGTCCTACATACTAGGACTCTGCTGGGATGAAAAACTGACAGCAGCATTCAAATGTGTGGGGTGGAAGGGGTGCAGCAGAGGGGAGGAACACAAATTTCTGGCCTTTGGGCTTGTGGGATGAGGTGATTGTTAATCTTCAAACATTGAAGATTAAAATAAAAATTGCCTCTCAAACTACCTGCCTCTTTGTACATCTCTCCCTATATCATTTTGATTATTTGGCATATTCTTTTACTTAGTAAGTCTGTGGCTATAACAAGGCAGTTTGTTCTCTATAAGACAAGTGTACATCTGCTGAGAAATTGTAGAAAAGGTAGAGATAGTCATATCCCTGTTTCCACTGAGGTAGTTGTCTTTGTCAATATTATGTAAATAGTCATCTAGTCCATCCTACCCTCTCCCTCAAAATACAAAAGAACTATCTCTAAACAATGACAACACGGTAACATTAAACATTTTCACATTCTGTAAACTGCAAGGAAATGCATCTGCTGCATTCACACAAAAGCATGTGCATCATGTTGAAGGCCATACATTCAACTCTGTCGTGAAATAAATATATAGAAAAATGAGGTTAAAAACAGACAAACAAATTCTTCTTGTGATTGAGGGAGCTGCCCCCAGTTTCCATCTTGGTCTCTCTGGCTCTTTTCTCTGGAGCCTATCCTGCTCACCCAAGGCACTACCAGCACCTGAGGCAGCGCAGTGGACAGGTCACTCTTTCACTGCACTTGTCTTGCAGGAATGCAGCACCACTTTAAAGAGGAGAGGCAGCTGCTCCAGGGGCACATTCACCATCTTTCCTAGATAAAAGGAAGAAAGAATATTAGTAGCAGCTACTAAGGAAGGAAAGCCTGTCTTGTCTTTTAGGATGTTCGGTCTCCTTGGTGTAGGACAAGTGCAAGACAAGTATCAGGAGTGCTACAAAGGTGACAAGAGTTAAATAACGTCAGGTGTATAGGCACACTTTTCCATCTACTACACTTACCAGCCAATTCAAACATTGTCTCAGTCAGACTCATAATATTTTTTTGTTTTGTTTTTTTTTCCAGACTCATAATATTTTTGTGATTGCTTATTACCCCATTTTACAACTGAGGACCTGACAAATGGAGAGGGAATCCTACTGAGCTCTTTGTGACTAAAATACTATAGAAAACTTGCTTACTACCAACTCTTTAGCATTCTATAAAATTCTGCCCTTCAAAACAGAATAACTGATTAATGAATGTACTAGAGAAGTTCTGGAGCTAAAAAGAGTTGGACAGGTTGTTTTTTTTTTTTTTTTCCCCTCCCACTGCTGAATGCTCAGAGCATTAAGCAAACAGATAACATAAGAAAAACATCTAAGGCTGTAGTTCCTTAGTACTTAGACAGTTCCTTAGAATCACCTGGAGGGCATTAAAAAATATTGATGCCTGGGCTTTTCCCCATACCAATGAAGTTGGAATGTCTGGAGATGCAAAAAACAAAACAAAGCTTTCCAGGTAACTGGAAACAGCTTTTCTAACATTGCTCTGTAGCTCAAGAAATAGAGAGAGAGAGAGAAAAAAAAAAAAAAAAAAAAAAACTCAGTCAGACTGACATGTTTGTTTGTAGGATATCTGTACACTGTATGAAGATACATTGTTGTGATTGGTTTAGTAAGGAGCTGAATGGCCAATAGCTAGGCAGGAGATATAGATATGCAGAGAAAGGAAGTAGGGGGAGATAATCGAGGTGCAGGGGAGATGCCAGTAAGGCATGGAACGAGTCAGATATACAGAATGAAAGAAAGGTAAAAGGCCATGAAGCAAAACACAGATTAATATAAATGGGTTAACTTAAGTTATAAGAGCTAGTGGGACAAACCTAAGCTGAGACTGAGCTTTTATAACTAATAAGTCTACATGTTGTTATTTAGAAAATAAAGTCTGATTACACTTTTTTCTTCAAAAATTGTATTACTGAATTTTACAGGAAAAAAAAGCAAAAAAAATCAAATCAAAACAAAACAAAACAAAAACTCCAAAATAGTCTAAACATCACCCCTGTTGGTGTTAAGACATTGGAAACTGGGATCCTCACTATCTAAAGTAACAACAACAAAGGTTATGTACTGAAACAGACCTACTAACTGTCAGGAGCTTAGCAGAAGGCTCAAGACACAGACAAAATTCCTTTGTAAACACAGGAGCTTAAAGTACCACTTTATATAGCACTGGAAAGAGTATGTGCAATTCTAGGAAACAAAGTTTTTAAAAACCGATTCATTATCTTAAAGTATACAGTTCAGGGCATGAAGTGGAGATTCTGAGCTTGCTTTCCTTATCCACAGAATACTAGTACCTCTTTTCTAAAAGGAAACACAAACTTCCTTCTAAAAGGAAACACAAACACCACCTGAAGCTGGTGGCGGGCCTAGAATGAGCATCCTGTGAACCTTGCTCATCTCAACCCCTTCACAAGCTTGGAGAAGAAAGGAAGGGTTGGAAGCCTGGGCCCAGAATATTACCTGCAATGTATCGGATCTCTGGCAAGCACATCATAAGGTCAGGAAAGCGGTTTGGCTGATGTGTGTATTTATATTCAGTGAAATCCTGACAAATGTACCAATACCGCTTATTTAACTGTTCCAGCTGTGAGGCACTGGTCAGACCCCTAGTATCTGTTAAAAAAAAAAAAAAAAAAAAAGAATCATATAGGAAACAGGATGGTAAACAGCAGTTTTTGATTTTTAATTGAGAAGTTATTAAACGTGGTCATAACAGAGATCTTTTCTCCTTCTGATGTGGAGAAACTAAGATCTGGACAAGGTAAAAGAAGATAGAAAAGAAGAGATAAAGGCAAATGACAGTCCTTTGCCTGAGCCCTAAGTGCTAAGCTGGGCATCTTAACATCACTATCAAGTCTTAATACATACCCATGGAGGCACAAAACAGGCACCAGTGAATGTGGAACAAGTAGCTAACAATACTTCATAGTGTTTTTGAAGTGGAGGTGATCAGAAACATTGGTGATATCTACAAATTCAGGAACCTGATGACATGTACCATCTCCAGTGTCTCTGTGTTCTTGCTATTCTATCTTGATTGTATGTTATGTATGACTCTACCTAAAGTACAGGAGATGAGGGGCTGGAGAAATAGCTCAGAGATTAAGAGCACTGGCTGTTCTTCCAGAGGTCGAGTTCAATTCCCAGCAACCACATGGTGGCTCACAACCATCTATAATGAGACCTGGTGCCCTCTTCTGGCCTGCAGGGATACAGAACATCGTATACATAATAAATTAATCCTTTAAAAAAAAAGTGCAGGAGATAAATATAGATATTGTATATACATCATACCCAACTATTGAGGTCCAGCACACATCTCTCCTCTTCTAAGAAGTTGCTACTCATCTTCCCCACATGCAGTATAATTCATGTGTTAAATGCTATCAGAGTGTACACTCTTCAAGGACCTGGGGAATTTTTTTTAACCTCTTCCCCCACAACCCTGCCAATGTCTTTCATATATGGTACAGGGCTTGGCTAGAGAAGGCATGTAGGTCGCCTGATAAATTCACGATGTTATACAGACAGGAGTAGGAGGTCTACTACAGTATTGGAGGATAGAGTGAGGAGTAGTGGCAAAAAAGAAAGCCTGATCAAGAGTCTCTGGACTGGAAAATTGAGCATAGTGAGACAGCACTTTCAAAGCTACAGGGAACAAAATCACTCAGGCCCAACCTGAGAATGGGGCATTCAAATGCTACTTTTGATAAAAACAAAACAACCAATTTTTCTTTATGGACCAATTACCAGCAACTACCATGTGCCCCTTGTTGGTGATATGCCTATAAACCAAATGGACTCTTCAAATAGGAGTCAAGGAGCATCAGTCACTGCCAGCCTATCAACCATGGCCTTATCTCCAACAGTTTCATCAGTCACCCTGCTCTTCTTCAGTTACTGGTAAGCTTGGTACATATTTTAAATGACGCATGTTCTGTCCTTGGTGTCTCTGTTTAAATGCATTAAAACTGACTAAACAAAGCGAATCCTCTTCCTTCCTCTGTGAGTTATAGAGATTGTGGCATTTAGATTTCAAGAGAAAAATCCAAAGCACTCCTTACACTGTAGAGGAGCAGGGTGATGACTCCTAGTCATTCCTCCCCTGTATAGGCCTTCCAAGACTGATGGTCACATGGTGTAACAGCTTCTGTGACAGTCCTGGAGATGGGAGGTAGGGTGGGGGAAATGGGAGTTGTGTGTGTATGACACAGAAGGGCAAATGCTTACTGACAAAAAAAAAAAAAAAAAAAAAAAAAAATCATAAAATAAACTGCTGCCCTCATCTCACCACCTACTCACCTTGATTCAGGAAGTTAATTGCTTTCATGCATGCATACTCCTCATTGCTGACCTTTAGTTGATGGAACTTGTGATATAGGTAGATGAGCCGTTCAATTACCTCCATTCCTTCATCACTAAATCTGGAGAACAGATACAGGTTTTTACCTGGGGTACTGATAGCAACAAAGGCCAGGAAGAGCAGACAGCAATTATCTATGATGGGAAAGAAACTTCACAAGGAAATCCATGCTCTGTTTGGCAGCCAGTTTAGATTATGCAAGTTGCTGTTTCTAAGTCAGACAAAGTCAAGTAAAACTAGGTTCAAATCCAACTGTACTACACCAGCTGTGAAAATCTAGGAAGGTTAATTGATCCCTGAAAGCTTTGAGATCCCCCTCTGCAAAATGTTTGCCTGCTTATGCTAAGAGCGAAAGGAGATCTGGGATAGAAACCAAGAAAAAAATGTGACAATATTAAGATACAGCTTTGGTAGAGATGCAGTATGCAGCATCAATGACAACTGCTATCATGAGAACCTCAGCCATTGTGTGGAAAATGCTTCCAGTTATATTTGTTTAGGGTCACTGTTTCTCGAAAGGCTAAGATTATAGGCAATAATTTTACTCGGATTCCTGACTTCAGTCCAAGGGAGAAGAAAATACTTGCTTAGTCTTTACACCACAAGAGCCTTTGTGCTGTTCATTCTCAACCCTATGAGCTAAGAGAAGCAATCACTATCAACACAAAATGAGAAACCCAAGTTGGTGGACTGGCCCACCAACACACAGCTAGATAGTGGTGGGATGAGAACCTGGTGCCTGGACTAGCTTCCTGAGGTTTTTCCAGTGTCTAAGGTGGTCTGCTTCTTGAACTTCAGACTTCTTGAACTATTTATAGGTAACTTCTTTTCACCTGATGAATTCTTACATAACCTTAGGTATATAGGTAATAAAATAGGTATTCAGGGGAATCTGCCTGTCTCTGTTCCCCTTCAGTGCTACAATTATGGTCATTCCCAGATTTTTACATGGGCACATGAACTTGGGGGTCCTCATACTTGCATAGCAAGTATTTACCACTAGTAAGCCACTCTCCAGTCCCAGTAAATATACTTTAACTCTTCAGCATGTAATTTTACTATTTACTAAAAATAAAATCAATTTTGTATACTAATGAGGTAGAAAATGAGAAGCCTGGGGACAGAGCATGTTTTAGGTAAAGAACCCCAACCATGCCACCAAAGCAAGGGAGAGCCTCAGTTTGCTGTGTGAGCTGCTGTGAACTGTAATGGCTAATTCAAGTTCCTCATTTTTCTAGCCCAATGGCTTTAATGACTCTATTAATACTTTCCCAGTCTGACTAATAGACAAATTCATATTGAGTTTGTTTAACACCCTTACCAACCATTCTACCCAAGTTGAGTGCTGGGAACTTTTAGTATTTTATGTATGTAGCCTTATCCTCCTAATTAAAAAAAAAATAATCAAAATCTCCTTTGTTTGTATGGGTGGCAAGGCTCAGTGTGGCCACTGACTGTGCTCCTGACATAAAAGGCTCTTTCACAGGTATTCTTACTCTCCTGACAACTTGTGAGATGAACTATATACCTTTCTCTGTATTAGGATGGAGGAAGAAAGAAGTGACTCTCTCAAAATTACACAGTAAGAAAGAGGCAGGGCTTTTGCATTCCCACCAAAGAGGCTTTCCCAGGGCTGTACTACTTACCCTAACCCTGTTAAGTTCTTAAATGCTACCTGGGAGAGGCTGCCACCTGCTATCATGTGAGACTTTAAGAGCTTTGGGTTCCCACAGCAGTTCACCCTGGGGTCTGACCCTAGGAGGTGCTAGGTACTTCTGTGTCACTTGCATGATGAGTCTTGGAGGTTAAGACCACTTCTCACAAAAGTACTTGTTGGCTACTTAAACCACTGAGAGAGATAATGTCTTCAATTCCCATGGAGGAGTAGGGTGGGGATAAGCTGAGGTGGGGCATAATGAAGAAGGCGGGGAAGATAGTGAGTACATCTGTCTGGTGGTCAAGCAATGCAGCAAGCACAAATACTGCTCTGTCCCTTAATCAGCAACTCCTTGCCCCAGAGCTCACTATAGCATGGCAGGACCTGCAGGTGTGTGGCTATCATCCATTCCTGGCTATCTTGACCTGGGGGGACACAAAGGAGCTCTCAAGTGCTTGGGCCTGTATATATGCCCAAGCACTGCCCTTTTTCTTGGGGACAGCATACCCCTTCTCCAAATATCTTATAAGAAGCAGCCATCATAGCCCCTTGGCAGTGGTTCCCATTCAGTCTCTACATCTTGGCTGCAAAGCTTTCCTCCACACCCACATCCCACCCTTTGACAAACAAAGCTGTTCTCTGTTCTACAGGCCTGCTTTCTCCTCCAGTCGATCCTCCTCCACATTTGTCCACTCCACAGTTCTGATGCCCCTGTATTCCCTGTCTACAAATTATCAGCATTCAAAGCCATAAAGTTGGACAAACATACCCATTCTTCTCTTAGGTTCCTATCACACAAGCACGGCTAGGACAAAGAAAACATTCCTGCCAGGATCCCCCAAACCATTGGACCATTCAGTCAGCAATTGAAGCTGACACCATTTAAGTTATAGGCTAGTAAGGAAGGAGCAGAGAGGAACAGCTCTCTTTCTCATACATCTAAATGTACCCTCAGCCATCAGGTATAGTCTTTATGGAACTGTCACCATCACATTCACACGTAAGTCAGATTATAGCTCCAGGATATATTCTAGAAAGTTATTCTTTTTTCTAAGAATGGGTAATGGTAGAGAGCTCTGGCTTTGCAGCACAACAGACCTGTGTAGGAATCTTAGGTCCATCTTTTTCTATATTTGTAGCCCTGCATTTTCATCTCTCTGAAACTCAAGGTCCTTATATGTAAGTCTCATAGGATGGCAGTAACGTAAATAAAACAATGATAAAAATTGGTGCAGCACATCCTGTTGACCGTTATATATTCACAGTGTTACTATCAGTCATTCTCCTGTAATAGGGAGCAAGAAGGCTGTTTCCTGAGCCTGAGAACTAGTCAAAAGTGCCCATTAAAGTCCACCTAACTCAAAGCATCTTTTCCAGGGAGTCAAAGGGCTGGGAGTAGGCCCCAGCTGGTGCTACAATCTGCTTTAAATCATGTTTGTCCACCTCTGTGTCTGATAACATTTTAACTAGGAGTAGGCACCATAAACTTGATTCAGTATTGAGAAGAGACAAGGAGCTGGTCGTGCATCATCCAGGAAGCCTTTTTCTGACAGCGGACACTCATACTCAGAAGCTGTGAAGAAGCAAAGGCTGCCTGGGGGAGTGGGAGTAGTACAGCAAAGTAAGGAAGAGCTATGGCCAATTAGAAGCTATACCCTAGGCTTCTAGCGGAGAGGGGATGCTTGGCAGTGATTAACCTAACTCCAGAGGCATAGCTTCCAGATCTTATGACCTATATGTGACTTAGATTTCACAGGCACCCAAGCCATATGCAAAGTATCTTATCTCCCATATGTTCTTCCTTGATGCTTTATCCTAACTAAAATAACCTGTGCCTACCTGTCCAGCAATTACCCATAACTTTCCTTACTCAGTAGCTCTGCTGACTCCATGTCCTTGACACTGCTAGCTTGGTGTTGCCCTCTCTTCTGTCATCTAGGCCTTCTTTTTCTTCCCACAGACACAGAGAGCCTCCTGCTCAATCATGCTCTAGTCTTGACTAGACCAAACAGCCACAGAACACTTTCTCAAATGTTACTCACCCAAGTAATTCCTGTGATGTCTCTTTTCTCTTTGTTTTCTTTCTCTCTTTTTTTTTTTTTTTAGGCAGGGTCTCACTGTTTATGCCAGGCTCTACAGGAACTTGCTATATAGACAAGGCTAGCCTAGAACTCAAGAGATTCCACCACCTCTGCCCAGTTCTGTGACTAAAGGTGTGCACCACCACACTTAGCTCTTCTAGGGTCTCTCTGTGTAGCTCTAAAATTTGCTCTGTAGACCAGGCTGACTTCTCCTGCCTTCATCTTGCTCTTTATACTGTACTAAGAAAATTCTCACTTCAAAATGTAGCTCAAATGTCTGTTCTTGTGGTAAGCCAAGTATGCAAGTACAGCCCTCATTTCTTAGTCTGGTTTGAATAGTCCTTACATCCTCAGTCTCCTTCAATCACCTTACATTGTAGATTGTGTCTGTTACTATAAAAATGAGAATTGGGACTCTCAAAGTCAGAAACCATGTCTAAACTGGGTTTAGTAGTACACAGCTATTACTGAAGCTGCTCAGAAGACTAAAGCAGAGGATTCTAAGTTTGAGGCTTTTCTGGGAAACTTGGTGAGAGCTTATCTCAAAATAAGTTAAAACTGGTTAGAGATGTTATCTTTTTTGTTGTTGTTTGTTTGTTTGTTGAGACAGGGTTTCATTGTGTAGCCCTGGTTGTCCTCAAACTCATAGTGATCCACTTCCCTCTGCTTCTTGAATGCTGGGATTAAAGGTGCGAGCCACTACCACCCTAGAGATGTTATCTTAATGGTAGAGTACTTACATAGCATGTGTAAGGCCTTGGGTTTAAATCTTTGGAACCAGAAAGGGAGGAAGGGAAGGAAAAAAGAATGAAAGACAGAAACCTTAGCTGCATGGTTTGTATTCCTAGAATCCTTGCCCCCAACAATTCCTAAAATACTCAAGTGCCCACAGAGGGCCCGGAAAAATCTTCCATACTGTAGGGACTGGAACATAGAGGCTTATTCCGCTGCTGCTACATGTAATCCACCCCAGGAACAGCTTGTAGTTCCTAGAAAAACAGGGAGGCTAGGCTCCCTGAGGCCAAGTCTACATACCAACAATATTACAGCAAGCTTACTTCCATCTAAACAGCCCTTCAATCCAAAATTATAAGCAGGAGACAGAAATTTGATGGAAACAATGAATTAGAGACTATAGTCAAGGGCTTAGGTCATTTATAAAATTAGACGGCTCTTTTTATAGGTAGTTGCACCCTGAATCCACTAAACAACAAAATGATAGAAAAGCAAAGGAGTGAGCCAATTCCCAGACTCCCACTTAGCTGTGCACAAGCTCCTGAAGGTCTTGAAGTTTTGCTCCTGCTTAAATGTTGGCCTTGTTTTTATGTAATGCACAGGATGGTGGGACTGATACACCTCAATCCTGTGAAGATAATTTTGGAGTTAGAACTATCTCCTCCATACCTCATTTATCTTTGTTATGGGTAACTTTAAATTGTATGACTTCTATTATTTAAATTGTCCAAAAAAAGTGGTTTATTGAAATATCTATTTAAATGTGAATTAAGCTATATAAGACATTTCATATTAATAAACCAGTAAAGTTATTGAAACAGATAATTGTCTTCATTTGGGAGTCAGAAATTAAGGGTCCCATTTTCCCTAGGTCTTCAAAGAGAGTGACTGAAACAGTATATGGGTAGGTTATGGAAGCATCAGAGAGAAAAAAAGGCTGTTCTAGAGGAGATTAGAGGATGCTAATTAGCCAGAAGGAAACCTATGGCAAAGAATAATCAGGAGACCTACTTGGCTCAGTCCTATGCTCTTAACATCTCACCCCACCTCAGGTACCACAAGGTGGAGCACAGGGGTGGGGATGGGAAGCTATGGGACAAGCTCAAGACTAGACTCTAGAATAAAATCCAAAGCCGTTAAGGGCCAGGCTCTCTGAACTTCAACTTTCTCATCAATAAACAAACTCAATGGTTCCTATGCTACTGTACTTTGTAAGAAAGAATCAGTAATGTAAAGCTGCCTATAAACAATAGCAAGGTGACTTCCAAGTCCAGAGTCCCTTCCCTTGGTGGTAGGTAGAGTTTAGATTTTTGTTTTTCCCAGGTATATTATATATAATGTAGACATAACATTATAGCAACAGCTTAGCACTCTGCCAATCTGACTGTGTGACACTTACTCATCATCCCTGCGCCTTGTTGGAGAGGTACCTACTCTATCCACTCAAACACTGTGGTTTGGCCGATAACACAAAGCTATTAAGTGACAGTCTGTGGGATTTAGTGCTTCCCCTTTGGAGACTAGGTAGTTTTGCCTCACAGGGAGGACAAAGGCTTGATTGCTCACAATGCCCTCCCCAGTTAGCAGCTCTCACCTGTGTAGCTCTTCATCAGAGGGTGAGTACTTGGCAGTGACATCAGCCAGCTCCCCAAAGATTTGCTTGCTATAAACAGTGAGGGACGAGAGCAGGATCAACTCCTGCCATGTAGAGCTCAAGAGGCACGTGTAATCCTTGATTGAGAGCTCACAGAAGAAAGGCAGCTTCTTGATCCAGGCAATCTGCCTAAAGAGTAACTCGTCGGCCAGGCGGCAAAGCAGAGCAAATAGCTCTGCTTGTGTCACAGCATATCTGGAGGTAGGGATAGGACAGAGTCACTTCAGTCAGCAAAAGAGTGAAGGTAGGAGTAAAGGAAGAGGATATTACTTGAGGGCACAGTATGTTCTTAGCAGTAGGCCCTTTGTCCTTGACCATGGATTTCCAGTTTCATTCAACTTCTTATAAAGGGTAGAGCTGGGGCAAGCTAAAAGCTGAGGTGAGAGTAGTGGGCAGTGAGATGATTTGTTGAGAACAGGCTGCTGAGGGGAATGGAGGTTTAGAAATTTCTATAATTATGAAGGAGTATCACTCTTAATATTGGTGTAGTCTGATGTTTCATGCCTCAGAAGAAATTCTTACTCATTCCTGCTCTAGTTTTGATAGTGAAAACTCTAATAGAGTGGGTCTAGAGCATACCCAGTATAAGGAACAACAATCACACATGAAAGAAAACAAAAACAAAACCCAAAGCTAAACATGCCTAAGAGCCAGACTGCTGAAGAAAACAGGCATTCAGAAGCCTTTTCTGTGCTCACTGTGCCCCCTGGTGGTGACAGCTCAGGAACCAGAGTTGTTCATCTATTTCTCAGCTCAAGCCTCTGAGACTCTAGCTTTAACCCTCTCAAGATCTCTACTCCCCTTGTTACCCTCTTCCTCATATCCTCCATAAAAGCATTGTGGGATCCTTTTTGTATGTATTTAAGTCTGCTCTTCTAAAACTGGAGCCTAGCTGAGGACCTCAGGGTATCCTCTATGAGGCCTAAGATTAAAGACTCTAGCAACTCATGTTCTCTAAGAAGTAATGGGTGTAAGAATGGGTGGCCCAGATACTGAACTATGTAACACTCAAATAGAGCCAAATGCAGACTGTGGTATCTATTACAGACATTCAGGCCTGCACTAAAATCTGCCAGTCACATGCCAAGAGTTACTCATGGGCATGTTGGCTAGGGGTATAGACAGGTCACAATCAATTAGGACTACCCAGGCATAATACTGTACGGCTTTAATCCCAGCACTCAGGAGGCAGAGGCAGGCAGATCTCAACAAGTTTGAGCCAGCTTGATCTACAAATTAAATTCCAGAACAAACAGAGCTGTTACACAGAGAAACTCTGTCTTGAAAAAACAAAAAAGACAAAAACAATAAACAACCAATTAGGGCTTGAATGATTTAAAAACCTTAGGTCTTATGTACAGCTTATTTCTGGCCCAAAGGCAACCATTTCAGGGCTTGGTTTACCTAGACCCACAAAGAAATAAAGGCCCTTCAATTCCAATTTCATAGTGACTGAAAAGTAACCTGAACTGTCTGAGAAAAGATGCTTAAGGAAACATGAGTGACCAATACCTTCAATCACGAAGTTGAGTATACAACTGGTTGGTAGGGACATTTTGAGACTGTAAGGGGGCCAAGCAGGACAGTATTCACTCACCCATCTTCAATCAACATGGGTGTGCCCAATGGCTCCAGGTCTTCTGCTGACATTAGCTGATGAATCAGACTGTAGGACTGAGGGTCCAGGCTTCGAGCTTGTGGGGGCAGAAGTGGTGAGTGTCCAGAATAGCTAAAAAGGTGTGGTATGTACTGATAATGTGGAGGTGCTGACATCCCCATGTACTGATCCCTGAATGTCATGAATCCATTTAGTTCCACAGACCTACTGGAGAGAAAAACTTCACATCAGGAAAAGTAATGGCAGGTTAAGGACCTGCTCAAAGGAAGAAGTCAGGAGATGGCTGAGGAAGTCTCTGGTCACTAGGTCTGTGGCTAATCAAGCCATGGGTCAAAATTAATGATTTCATTGTATCCTTGAGACAAGGACTCTGTGGGTATAGAAACATGGAGCTTGACACTGGCAAACTGAGTGACCAGTAGAATAGGGGATATAAATAAGGATTGGATGATGTTACAACTAACACCTCACTCACATTAGGCAGGTACTTTGTCACTGTGCTATATGCTAGTGCTCTTCTATCTTCTAAAATATCTGGAGATCCTGCCTCCAGGGCTAGTTGCCAAGGCTAACCTTGAATTCACTCTGTCACCCTGGCAGGTCTTGAAGTTGTGAACCTCCTGCCTCAAGTTTTAATGTATACCAGTAATCTATTGTGACAAAAATGTGTGTTTATATTGTGGCTTTACTGTTACAAAAACAAAGGCACAGGACAGGCTAGGTGGACTTAATTAATTCAAAAACCAAATCTAGTACCTAGCATGGAATATAACTGAAGGTCCTTAAGTCCCTAAGTACTAAAAAGAAAGAACAAGGGAAAAACTGAAGGAATAAAAAACTCTAATTGAATCTGAAGAGGAAGGCAGATTCCACCCAATTTCCTCTTTTTTTTTTTTTTTTTTTTTTTTTTGGAAAAAGCTAACTATTTTCTCAATTAACTGAAAAAAAAAAAAACCTAACAAAACCTATGTATTTGCATTTATATTTGTTTGTAAGAGAGTATGAGTGAATTTCACAATGAGTGTGTGGGAGTGAGAGGACAACTATTGGGAGTTATCTTCTTCCACTTTGTTGATCCTGGGTTGTTCCAGGTAGTCAGACTTCACAGCAGGTGCCTTTACCTAATGAATCATCTCACCAGCCCATCTTTTTTTTTTTTTTTTTTCTTTCTTTCTTTCTAGATATATCTCCTGCACATGGCTTTTATGTGGGTGCTGGGGATTGAACCGAAGGTTCATGATTATAGAGCAAGCACTTTACCAACTGAGCTATGTCCACAAGCCTTACTCTGTGACATTATTATTATTATTATTTATTTATTTTTTAAGCTTTATTGCCAGGAGGTGGTGGTATACATCTTTAGTCCCAGCAGAGGCAGGTGGATCTCTGTGAATTCAAGGCCAGCCTGCTCTACAAGAGCTAGTTCCAGGACATCCTCCAAAGTCACAGAGAAACCCTGTCTTGAAAAACAAACAACAAAAAAATTTATTTAAGTATACGAGTGCTCTGTCTGCATGTTTGCCTGCACATCAGAAGAGGTCATCAGATCCTATTACAGGTGGTTGTGAGCAACCATATGGGTGCTGGGAAATAAACTCAGGACCTGTGGAAGTGCAGCCAGTGTTCTTAACTGCTGAGGCATCTTTCCAGCCCCCTACTAAATGTGAAATTTCAAGAAAATACTTAATTCATGTCCTATATCAAAGATTTCTGGGGTAAGAAACCCTTCCAATGTAGCTGAAAGCTATACTTACAACTACTTAAGAAAACATGATTGCCCCAAAAGGCTTTAATCTTGAATTCCCCATAACACTAACTCTGGTGAGTCAGAAAAACTGTTAATTCAATTCTGCAGTCAGTGTATTGAAATGTTATTGTGCTAAATGAAGCCTATGTGAACATGCACAGAAGTGGCACTCATCAGTCAGCAAAGGACTGGGCTTGGAAAGCTGGCCTGCACCATCCTGGTCTCCAAGATACTGAGAGACCAAGGGCACAAAGGCTGAGACAGCCTGGTAGAGGAGCACACTACCAAAGGTTCTTTGGAGGGCTACTCACTGGATGGTCCTTAGGTGAGGATACTGGGTTTGCCTTTAACTCACCTGGATGACAGTGTGGAAACTGGTGAGGGCTGGTTGCTCTCTGATACCCTGTTCCCAGGTGAACTATAGTCGCTGTCACCATGGTTGCTCCAGTGATTGGCTTCTTCTTCAAACTCTTGTCCAGACATGATTCTTTCAATCTCTTCTTCTGATATCTTTGAAGAAATGGACACGTTAGAGGTATTGTACATACCTCCTGTTCTCTCGGTAGGCCTCAGAGTTTATACTTCAGTTCTCTCATACTCTTTGGACTTCTTTGTATATGCTTAGTATATTTGGACACAATCTTTGGACACTTGCCTTCAAGAACCATGACTTTCCCCTTGCCCGTTTATCCAACCTTCAAGGCACAAAGTCTATTCCTCAACTCTTGTCTTTGAGTCTTCACTTTCCTAACTAAAACTCATTCTTCAATGGCAATCTCCTACTTCATCTATCCAATAATGAATGTAAGTTATCTCCTTCACAAAATTATCTGTCATTATTTACTATTCATAATTATGTGGATTCTGAGAAAGGAAGGGCGGCATCATGGTTAATGGTAAAAATTCGAGAAGCAGACCACCTTTTTTCAAATCCAGAGTATACCACTTCTAGCACAAACTTTGCAAAGTTACTGAATTATCTTAAGTGAAGTACCTCCATCTGTTTGGTAGACAGAACAAAAGCCCTATCTCATTGGATTCCTCTGAGGATTAACCAAATCAGATACTCTTCCTAGGAATATAGCAAGAGTAACAATTACAGAAACACTGAAAGTTGTTACAATAGCATGATCTTTGGGTATTACACTGCCCAGGCTAGTCTGAAACAGCCCTTTTGTTTCAGTCTTCTAAGTAGCTGAGACTGTAGGTCTGTCCCACCAAAATGGGTTGTCATTATTACAGAACATTCATAGTAACATTTCACTAAAACAGACTCTGTAACAGCTAAGACCATGACAGGACCTAAAAAAGAGGTATGTAATAAATGGATATTGAGTAAATTGTGTTCATTTTTTAGTACTAACATGTACTTTCACATAGATTTTTCTTTTAAAAAGAAAAGATATCACCTAGTCTGTTAAATAAAACTTGAAGAAACCACAGGTCATAAGTCATACTGTGTGTACCTAGATGTGGTCAGGGATATGAAGAAGAAACAGAAATATGCTAGTACTTAGTCCAGTACTCTATAGAGAACAAATAATCTTTTATACAGTTTCTAACCAAGGACTGAGGGCTAACGGGTCACAGTCAACACAGAACTGACAGGATAAGTGCTAAGGAGGCAGGGCCAGGGAAATTTTTATATGTAGTTTCTATGGAAACCGCAAGCCTGCATATGTATTTGCTCTAGTGGCCTCTAAGAAAACCCTGAATTGTCATGGTCATAAACAGAGGCTTTCATAATGCAACACTACAGGAACAGTGAGTTGGCTTAGCAGGGAAACATGCTTGCCATGCCAGCTTGAAGACCAAAGTTCAAGCCCTGAAACCCATGTAAATAAACAAGGAGAGAACAGACATCTCCAACAATGAACCATGGAGGCACACACATCACACATGTGAGCATGCAAGGGCACACATACACAAAAATAAACAAAACAATAATAAACTTTGGAAAATACTTATATATGATATCCTGACTGCAATTTCCCCTCCTTCCAGTAACAATAAAGGTGTTTCTTCTAACACTGTGAACAGACATCATGACCAAAGTAAGTTTTTTTTTTATTAATTTATTTTTTATGTTCCAACCAGTTCCCCCTACCATCTCCTCCTACTCCCCTCACTCCCATCTGCTCCATGAAGAGGGTAAGGCCTCCCTTAGGGAGTCTACTAAGTCAGTCTGTCCCATCATCTCGTTGAGACAGGACCATGGCACCTCTCCACCCCCACAGCCCCATGACTAGGCTGGGCAAGGTATCTCTGCATGTAGAATAGGCTCCACTAAGTCAGTTTGTGCATTAGTGTTAGATCTTGGACCCACTGCCTCACATATTGTCCCAGCCGTACCACTGTCACCTATGTTAAGGGAGTCTAGTTTGGTCTTAGGCAGGGTCTCCATTTGTCAGACCTGAGTCAGTGATCTCTCACTAGCTTGGGTCAGCTGATTCTGTGGGTTTCCCCATCATGGTCTCGACTCCTTTGTTCATATTATCGATCCTCCCTCACTTCCATTGTGCTCCAGGAGCTTGGCCCATTGGCTAGTTGTGGATTTCTGCATCTGTTTGCATCTGTTTCTGGAAGAGGCTTCAAGCTTCTCTGGGATTATGGACTTTATGTCTGCTATCGACTTATGAGTGAGTACATACTATATTTGTCTTTCTGGTTTTGGGTTACCTCACTTATGATGAATATATTTTCTTTTTTTTCCCATTTTATATTTTTAAGTTCTTTGTGAAAAATTGGGTGTTCATAGGTGTGTGAGTTGTTATTGGGGTCTCTGATTAGATTCCATTGGTCCACCTCTCTGTTTTTATGCCAATACCAAGCTGTTTTCATTACTATAGCTCTATAGTAGAGCTTTGAAGTAAGGGATGGGGATGCCCCGAGATGATCCTTTATTGTACAGGATTGTTTTGGCTATCCTGGGTTTTCTGTTATTCCATATGAAGTTGAGTATTGCTTTTTCAAGGTCTGTGAAGAATTGTGCTGGGATTTTGATGGGGATTGCACTGAATCTGTAGATTACTTTTGGTAGGATTGCCATTTTTACTATGTTGATCCTATCTATCCAAGAGCATGGGAGATCTTTCCATTTTCTGATATCTTCTCTAACCTCTTTCTTTAAAGACTTGAAGTTCTTGTCATACAGGTCTTTCACTTGTTTGGCTAGAGTTACCCCAAGATAGTTTATGTTATTTGTGTCTATTGTGAAGGGTGATGTTTCTCTGATTTCCTTCTCAGCCCATTTGCCATCTGTACATAGGAGGGCTACTGGTTTTTTGTTTTTTTTGTTTTTTTTTTTTTTTGAGTTAATCTTGTATCCTGCTACATTACTGGAGGTGTTTATCAGCTGTAGGAGTTCCCTGGTAGAGTTTTGTTTGTTTGTGTTTTTTTTTACGTCAATTATGTAAACTACCATATCATCAGAAAATAGGGAGAGTTTGACTTCTTCCTTTCCAATTTGTCTTACTGCTTTTGTTGTTTTATTGTTCTAGCTAGAACTTCAAGTACTATGTTGAATAGATAAGGAGCGAGTGGACAGCCTTGTCTTGTTCCTGATTTCAGTGGGATTGCTTTGAGTTTCTCTCCATTTAGTTTGATGTTGGCTGTTGGGTCACTGTATATTTGCCTTTATTATGTTTAGGTATGTTCCTTGTACCCCTATTCTCTCCAAGACCTTTATCACGAAGGGGTGTTGAATTTCGTCTAAGGCTTTTTCAGCATCTAATGAGGCGATCATGTGTTTTGTTTTGTTTTTTTCTTTCAGTTTGTTTATATGGTGGATTACATCGATGGATTTTTGTATGTTGAACTACCCCTGCATTTCTGGGATGAATCCTACTTGGTCATGGTGGATGATTTTTCTGATGTGTCCTTGAATTTGGTTTGCCAGTATTTTATTGCATCTATGTTCATGAGGGAAATTGGTCTGTAATTCCCTTTCTTAGTTGTGTCCTTGTGTGGTTTGAGTATCAGGGTAATTGTAGCCTCATAAAAAGAGTTTGGCAATGTTCCCTCTGTTTCTATTGTGTGGAATAATTTGAGGAGTATTGGTATTAGATCTTTGAACATCTGATAGAATTCTGCACTGAATCCATCTGGACCTGGGCTTGTTTTGGTTAGAAGACTATTGATAACTGTTTGTATTTCCTTAGGGGTATTTAAGTTGTTTATCTGTTCCTGATTTAATTTTGGTATGTGGTACTTATCTAGAAAATTGCCCATCTTCTTAAGGTTTTCTAATTTTGTGCAGTACAGGTTTTTGAAGTATGACCTGATGATTCTCTGGATTTCCTCAGTGTCTGTTGTTATGCCCCCCCCATTTCCTTTCTGATTTTGTTAATTTGGATATTCTCTCTCTGCCTTTTGTTTAGTTTGGATAAAGGTTTGTCTATTTTGTTGAATTTCTCAAAGAACCAACTCTTTGTCTCATTGATTCTTTGCATTGTTTTCTTTGTTTCTAATAAATTGATTTCAGCCCTCAATTTGACTATCTATTTCTTGCCATCTATCCCTTCTGGGTGAGTTTGCTTCTTTTTGTTCTAGGGCTTTCTCTCAGTTGTTCTGTTAATTCACTAGTATGCAATTCCTCACCCCCACCCCCAGCTTCTTTATGTAGGCATTCAGTGCTATGAACTTTCCTCTCAGCAGTGCTTTTATTTTGTCCCATATGTTTGGGTATGTTGTGAGGTCATTTTCATTAAATTTTAGGAAGCCTTTTATTTCTTCCTTTATTTCTTCCTTGACCCAGTGGTGGCTTTAGTTGATCACTGCTCAATTTCCATGTGTTTGTAGGCTTCCTAAAATTAATGTTGCTGCTGAATTCTAATTTCAAGCTGTGGTGATCTGACAGGATACAGGGTTTACTCCTTTTTTTTTTTTTTGTTTTTTTTGTTTTTTTGTTTTTTTGTATCTGTTAAGGTTTGATTTGTTACCAAGAATGTGATTGATTTTTAAGAAGGTTCCATGAGGTGCTAAAAAGAAAGTATATTCTTTTGTGTTTGGGTGGAATGTTCTATAGATGCCTGTTAAGTCCATTTGAGTCATAAGCTCTGTTAATTCCCTTACTTCTCTGTTAAGCTTCTGTCTGACAGATCTGTCCAGTGGTGAGAACGGGGTGTTGAAGTTTCCCACTGTTAGTGTGTGGGGCTTGGCTTGTGATTTAAGCTGTGTTGATGTTTCTTTTACAAATGCAGGAGCCCTTGTGTTTGGGGCATAGATGCTCAGAATTGAGATCTACTCTTGATGGATTTTTTCCTGTGATGAATATGAAATGCCCTTCATCTTTTTTTGATCGATTTTTAGTTTGAAGTCTATATTGTTAGATATTAGGATAGCTACACCGGCTTGTTTCTTAGGTCCATTTGACTGGAAAAGTTTTTCCCAACCTTTTACTCTGAGGTAATGTCAGTCTTTGAGTTTGAGGTGTGTTTCTTGTATGCAGCAGAAGGATGGAGTCTGTTTTCCTCTCCAATCTGTTAGCTTGTTGTCTTTTTATAGGTGAATTGAGATCATTTATATTAATGGATATTAATGACTAGTGATTGCTAGTTCCTGTTAACTTTGTTGTTGGTGATGGCATTGTGTGTTCAGTTCCCTTCTTTGGGGTTTGCTGCTGTAAGCTCTTCTATTTCCTGTGTTGTTGTGGATATAGGTGATTTCCTTGGGTTGGCATTTTCCTTCTAGTACTTCCTGTAGGGCTGGGTTTGTGGATAGGTATTGTTTAAATTTGGTTTTTATTATGGAATATCTTGTTTTCTTCATCTATGGTTAATGAAAGCTTTGCTGGGTAAAGTAGTCTGGGCTGCCATTGGTGGTCCCTGTCTGCATAACCTCTGACCAGGACCTTCTGGTTTTCATTGTTTCAAGGTGTTATTCTGATAGGTCTGCCTTTATATGATACCTGGCCTTTCTCCTTTGTAGCTCTTAATATTCTTTATTTACTCTACATATCTATTGTTTTGATTATTATGTGTCGAGGGGACTTTTTTTTTTTTTCTTTTTGTCCAGTCTATTTGGTGTTCTGTAAGCTTCTTGTACTTTCATAGACATGTCCTTCTTTAGGTTGGGGAAGTTTCCGTCTATGATTTTGTTGAATATATTTGCTGTGCCTATGAGTTGGACTTTTCTCTCCTTCTTGTATCTCTATTATTCTTAGGTTTGGTCTTTTCATGGTGTCCCAGATTTCCTGCATCTTTTGTGTTAAGGATTTATTGGATTTAAATTTTTCTTTGACTAATGACTCTGTTTCCTCCAAGTTGTCTTCAGTGCCTGAAATTCTCTCTTTTATCTCTTGTATTCTGTTGTTTATGCCTACATTTGTGGTTCCTGGTCATGTACCCAGATTTTCATTTCCAGAATTCCCTCAGTTTGTGGTTTCTTCATTGCCCCTATTTCAGATTTCATGTCTTGAATCGTTTCCTTCACTTATTTGATTGCTTTTCCTTGGTTTTCTGTAATGGACTTGTTGATATCTTCCAATATTTAGTTTGTCTTTTCCTCCATTTCTTTAAGAGAAATTTTCACTTCCTCTTTAAGGGCCTCAATCATCCTCATGAAGTTATTTTTTTAAATCGTTTTCTACTTCATGTGTGTTGGGATGTTCAGATCTTGCTGTTGTAGCACCACTAGTTTCTAGTAGTGCCATATTGCTGTATATATTGTTGAGTGTATAGTTTACGCATCTCTTCCTCTATAGGTATAGGTAGAACTTGTGCTTCAGTGGTTGTCTGTGTAACAGCTTTGGCTGTCCTAGAACTCGTTCTACTGTAGACTGCACTGGCCTCAAACTCTGAGACTGTCCCCCTCTGCCTCCTGACTGCTGGGATTAAAAGCTTGGGATACCACCTCTTGGCATAATAAAGTTTTATTTTCTTTCTTAATTAAAAAAAAATGCTAATAAGAATATGGGGCCAGGCAAGAAGGATTTATCTAGTATATAAACAAAGGAGTTGGTCTGAAATTGTTTGATGTATACAATGAAATGGAGTAATTGTTTTTGAAATTTAAGTCATAATACCTAAAAAATAATTACTCCAGCCTTTCTCTTAAGGGTCCTTGTGACCCTGAAATCATTGCCAACTGAGTGATGGTGCTGAAAGTGAGAATATGTGAGCTCTGTTGCATGGCATCTTTCTTTCATATGCCACTTCATTTTTTAAATTACGACACCTAACCTATGAATTCAATAGATGCAAAAGAAACAATCAACATAAGCCAATTCTCTTGTTATAGGCTATCAAGAAACAATCTGAAGAGATTTTCGTTTTGTTTGTTTGAGACAGGGTTTCTCTGTATAGCCCAGCCTGTCCTGGAACTCAGATCTGGCCTGCCTCTGCCTCCTAAGTACTGGGATTAAAACTGAGCACCACCACCTCTTGGCTGACCAGGAAAATTTAAGAAAACAATTCCATTTAGAATAGAATAAAAATGTAGTAAAGTTAAGAGGGTGAAAGACTTACACAGTGAAAAACATTAAACATTGCTGAAGGAAATTAAACACTTGGCCACAAGTGGGGGCATACACCTTCAAACCCATTACTCAGGAGGCAGAGGCAGGTGGATCTCTGTGAGTTAGAGGCCAGCCTGGTCTACAGAGATAGCCAGAGCTATACAGAGAAACCCTGTCTTACAAAATAAAAACAAACAAATACAACCAAAAAACAATAAAACAACAACAACAAAAATTATACAGAAACATATTTGTGGACCAGAAGACTTGAAGTTTAAGAACCATGCTATAATTTGTATAAAACCAAAAAGACTCCAAACAGCCAGGACAATCTTAAGATAGAATAATGAAGCTGGAGCTGTAAGTAGAGTGCCTGGTTTTAAAGCATAGTACAGAGCTGTAGCAATTAAAACCCTGTGGTATAGACATATACCTCAATAGAATAAAAAATAGAAATCCTACAACTACACTCAAATCTATGGTCAAATGACCTTCAACAAAGGTCCAAGACTACACAGTGGGGAAAGAATAATTTCTTCAACTAACAAACAGTGCCAGGCTAATGCCAGTATCATGTATATAGGGAAAAGGAACTCCTCTTGTCTTATACTACACACAAAGATCAACTCAAAATTTATTAAATGTAAGCCCCAAAACTGTAAAATCCTAGAGGAAAACAGAAGAAAATCCTTTAAAAAATATTTGCATATCTTATGTATATAAATACCTTGCATGTATGCCTTTATGCCAGAAGAGAATATCAGACCCCACTATAGATGGTTATGAGCTATCATGTGGTTGCTGAGAACTGAACTCAGGACCTCTGAAAAAGCAGCCAGTGCTCTTAACTGCTGAGCCATATCTCCAGCCCAAGAAGCCTTTTAAGGTTGGTCTTGGCAATGATTTCATGGATAAGACACCAAAAACCCAGGCAACATGAGCAAAACTAAAAAGCAGGCTGTCTAAGCTCTTGTACAGTCAACAAACCACCAACTCTTCAAAGCAGCCTGCAAAATTAGAGGGGAGGAGTGATCATCTGGAAGAGCAGAGAATTCAACAGGTAGCGTTTGCAGTCATGCAAGATGAAAAATTCTAGCTATCTACTGGGCACATAGTTAAAGATGCTTAAAAATTGAGAGAGCTCAGTGAATAAAGTGAGGGGAGCTGAACTCAGTTTAGCAATACCCACACAAAAGCCAGTGTAGTGATATACACCTGTAATCTTAGTGCTAGGGGTGGGAAGAGACAGGTGCATGCTTGGGGCTCTGGCTAGCCAGTCTAGTAGCAATGGCAAGCTTGAGGTTTAGTGAAAGACCTTGTCTCAAAAACTAAGGCAGAAAACCAAATAAAGACATCTCAATACCATCCTCTGTTCTCCACAGTGCCTACATGGATGACAGCACCCACTACACACACACACACCACCACCACACATGTTGTTTTTAGTCCAAACTAAAATGAATTATTTTTTAAGAGACAAATAACAGGAATAAAAATATTTGATTAAACAAATCAAAACAGTAAAATTAGGAGTTTTATACCCAAACAAACATACTTAGTACATGTTACGTACCCACAAAGCAGGAAATCGCTCATATATCAGTACATCTCTGAGTTCTTGTCTTTCATTTGTTTATGCTTAACTGGAGAAATCCTTTTAATTTTCTGGTGACCTCTCTCTTGGCTCTCTTTCTGCTTTCAGATCTGTGCTATCATTGCCCTACTTCAAACTATTACCTAAATGTCTTCCAACAGGCTTCCGCAAACCCACTTTAAACCATTTCCATTAGAATTTTTTTTCTAAAATGTAATATCTGTATAGGATAGTCTCCCTATTTACAATTGTTTAGTGATTGCTTGTTGGTACACAGCAAAAATTCGTGAAACTGATTCTGGTTCCTCATGTACTTGAGGATTAATTTGATTGGTGGGTCATGAAATAGATTCAATTCTCTAGAATCAGGAGTTGCTTCTGCTTGCTAGTAAGAACAGGAGGTATAGGTTGGCCCCTAAAGGCTCTACTCAGAAGTCACAGGCAAAGACCCATGAGGCCACTCTTTAGAGAACTCAAAGACTGTCTACCCTATTCCTTACCATGCTGTCACATGCGCCTAGTGACCCAGTCCCACTGAACCACCTCTTTGTGACTGTTTTTAAGGATCTGCCTTTGGGACATTCCAGTCTATTCTGTCTAGCTTTGATAAATGATGCTTAGCTTCTCAACACAGCTATTTCTTCCTTCCCCTTCAAGGATCAGTTCAAAAGCACCTTAAGGAAACTTTTCCAGAGTGTCTCCAAACTCTGAAAAAGAACAGAAGTATCCCTGGACATCCTCTGATAGCTCTCAGTATACTATGATGTCTATTTATTATCTATGGGATGGAGTGGAAATACTATTATTCCTACTTTAATAATAAGAACATGAACAACAATCAGGTGGTGGTGGCACACACTTTAATCCCAGCACCAGAGAGACAGAAGCAGTCAGTCTGTGAGTTAAAGGCCACCCTAGTATACAAAGCAAGTTCTGGGACAGCCAGAGATGTTACATAGATAAACTATGTCTCAAAAAACAAAAAACAAAAACAAAACAAAAAAAACAAAAACAAAACAAACAAACAAACAAACAAAAACAAAAAAAAAAAAAAAGAAGAAGAATAAGAAAGAAAAGAAGAATATGAACTGTTGATTTTTGCCAGGCTAAAACACATACAACTTTAAGTGACTGATCAAAAGGGAAAAAATAATTCTCTAGGTGGTTTAGAACTAGAACTGAATTCATTACCTGTGAAATTCTTACAAAGGATTGAGGGATCACAAGAGCTTTAAAATTTAAACATTCAGACTCTAAACAGGAGTAAAAGCCAAAATGGCAGAATAGGGGCTCAAGGTGAACAGCTACAGGAGCATTTGGAGCACCAGGCTTCCAGAACACACTAAGAGAGTGGGAATGAGAACTTACCTGCACTGGCCCAATGCTCTTATTCCGGCCTCCAGGCATGCCATCTTCTCTGATAGCTACAAAGAAATATAAGAGAGTCAGAACTACACTCACGGTCATTTATAAATGAAAAGGAAACTTATCTGTCTGAGCACTAGGAAGGCAGATACAGGCTGATCTATGTGTATTTGAGGCCATCCTGGTCTACTACATGGTGAGTTCCAGTCAGGGTCACATAGTGAGACCCTGTCTCAAAACACACACACACACACACATACACACACACCACAACACAAGCTTACCTGGCTAAAAGTATAATATAGTAAAAGTGAAGCCAAGACTAAACAACAAGCCTTTCTGGATTCATAGTGCAATTTATCACTGCAAGTTGCACAAAACATCAGATACTATACTTTTGGGTTCCCAAGGCACTGGATATATACTGCACATACTGTACACATTCAAGATGTTCAACAAAAATGTGACATGGCCAACAAGTTCGAGTTACAAATATCCCATCAGGAAGGTGTACCTCAAGCTAAGGGACATTTTAGTGGGGGAATGAACACTTGCATTTTAAAATAAAGTATATCTTATTTTCTGCCTAAGTTTAATTAGGCATCAGAATAGCACTCTATACTATCCAGGTGGATGCCAAACTCTGGAGAACATGGCTTTTGACATTTAGTTTTTATTAACTGGAATGCTCACCTCATTCATTCCTCCTAAAAAAGCAGGAAGTAGAAGATGAAGGAACTTACTTAGTGTTTTCTTATTTAATATGTATGAGTATCTTGCTTACATGTGTGCACTCATGGATGACTGGTACCCAAGGTCAGAGAGGGTGTCAGATCCCAGGAACCAGAGTTAAGATAGTTTTGATTCACCCTATGGGTACTGGGAGCCATCCAGGCCCTCTGCAGGAGCAGCAAATGCTCTCAACCACCAAGCCCCCAAAGACACTTGGGGGGGATTGTTATTGTTTAAGTTATGCATATGGGTGTTTTGCCTGCATGTACATCTGTCTATGTGTATCTGGTGCCCAGAGGCCAGTAGAGGGTGCCAGATACCCTGGGAACAGAGTTTACAAAGCTGTGAGCTGCCAAACCAGAACTCAAGAGGGCATTTAGAAATCATGTTTCTATCGTTTTCTCCAATTTCTAACAACTCTTCAGTTTTTGTATTCATGACCTTGATATTTTCCACTATTATTTCCTACATGTTAGTTATTTTGAAAAATGATTTTCCAGCTGTAGGTGGTGGTATATGTTTTCAATCCCAACATTCTAGAGGCAGGAGCAGGCTGGTTGATCTCTGAATTCTAGGCCAGCCTAGTCTATAGAACTAGTTCTGAGATAGCCAAGGCTACACAAAGAAACCCTGTCTGGAAAAATAAAACACAGAGGAAAAAAAATTTAAAGAAAAAGAAAAATATACATCAATATGGGCTCCTAAGTTTCCTCATGAATATTCTAATGATGAAATCCATGCTCATTCTGTCTCTCTCTCTCTCTAGGATCTGTTTGGTCTGTCTCTGTGTGTACCTAAGATTTTCACAACATTATCTTAACAGGGTAAATCATGCTGGTATGTTTACTGGTAATACTAGGCTAGATAGTTTTTAAAGAGACTGAAGTGTTAATGTATTTGAATCTGTAAAGACTGTGGGACTTTTAAAATTACTTATGTATTTTTGTTTTTCAAGACAGGGTTTCTTTGTTTAGCTCTGGCTGTCCTGGAATGCATTTTGCAGACTGGCCACAAATAGAGATCCTCCTGCCTCTGCCTCCCTCCTTAAAAAGGAGTCCCACTGGATGTTGTGGCACTATTTATGTTTTTTTTTTTTTTTTCCCCAAGACAGGGTTTTTCTGTGGCTTTGGAGACTATCCTGGAACTCGTTCTTACAGACCAGGTTGGTCTCGAACTCACAGAGATCCACCTGCCTCTGCCTCCTAAGTACTGGGACTAAACGCATGCACCACCATTGCCTGGCTGCTATTTATGTTTTTAATGTGAGAACTTGGGATGAATGAGAAAGGATGGGTGTATTTGTGTGTCAACTTGACAAGGGGTCAACTGTGCTAGATAATCTAAAGTCATCCCAAAGGAAAGAATCTCAATTAAGAAGATGCTGTCATAAGATCAGGCTGTAGGCAAGCTTGTAGAGCATTTTCTTGATCAGTGCCTGAGGGGAAAGGCCCAGCCATGCATATGGTACTACCCCTGGGTTAGTGGTCCTAGGTTCTATAATAAAGTAGGCTGATCAAGCAAGTAAGCAACACTCCTCCATGGCCTCTACAACAGCTCCTAGCTCCAGGCTCGTACTCTGATTGAGATAGTCAAATTGAGGGCTGAAATCAATTTATTAGAAACAAAGAAAACAATGCAAAGAATCAATGAGACAAAGAGTTGGTTCTTTGAGAAATTCAACAAAATAGACAAACCTTTATCCAAACTAAACAAAAGGCAGAGAGAGAATATCCAAATTAACAAAATCAGAAAGGAAATGGGGGGGGGGGCATAACAACAGACACTGAGGAAATCCAGAGAATCATCAGGTCATACTTCAAAAACCTGTACTGCACAAAATTAGAAAACCTTAAGAAGATGGGCAATTTTCTAGATAAGTACCACATACCAAAATTAAATCAGGAACAGATAAACAACTTAAATACCCCTAAGGAAATACAAACAGTTATCAATAGTCTTCTAACCAAAACAAGCCCAGGTCCAGATGGATTCAGTGCAGAATTCTATCAGATGTTCAAAGATCTAATACCAATACTCCTCAAATTATTCCACACAATAGAAACAGAGGGAACATTGCCAAACTCTTTTTATGAGGCTACAATTACCCTGATACTCAAACCACACAAGGACACAACTAAGAAAGGGAATTACAGACCAATTTCCCTCATGAACATAGATGCAATAAAATACTGGCAAACCAAATTCAAGGACACATCAGAAAAATCATCCACCATGACCAAGTAGGATTCATCCCAGAAATGCAGGGGTAGTTCAACATACAAAAATCCATCGATGTAATCCACCATATAAACAAACTGAAAGAAAAAAACAAAACAAAACACATGATCGCCTCATTAGATGCTGAAAAAGCCTTAGACGAAATTCAACACCCCTTCGTGATAAAGGTCTTGGAGAGAATAGGGGTACAAGGAACATACCTAAACATAATAAAGGCAAATATACAGTGACCCAACAGCCAACATCAAACTAAATGGAGAGAAACTCAAAGCAATCCCACTGAAATCAGGAACAAGACAAGGCTGTCCACTCGCTCCTTATCTATTCAACATAGTACTTGAAGTTCTAGCTAGAACAATAAAACAACAAAAGCAGTAAGACAAATTGGAAAGGAAGAAGTCAAACTCTCCCTATTTTCTGATGATATGGTAGTTTACATAATTGACGTAAAAAAAAACACAAACAAACAAAACTCTACCAGGGAACTCCTACAGCTGATAAACACCTCCAGTAATGTAGCAGGATACAAGATTAACTCAAAAAAAAAAAAAAACAAAAAAAACAAAAAAAACAAAAAACCAGTAGCCCTCCTATGTACAGATGGCAAATGGGCTGAGAAGGAAATCAGAGAAACATCACCCTTCACAATAGACACAAATAACATAAACTATCTTGGGGTAACTCTAGCCAAACAAGTGAAAGACCTGTATGACAAGAACTTCAAGTCTTTAAAGAAAGAGGTTAGAGAAGATATCAGAAAATGGAAAGATCTCCCATGCTCTTGGATAGATAGGATCAACATAGTAAAAATGGCAATTCTACCAAAAGTAATCTACAGATTCAGTGCAATCCCCATCAAAATCCCAGCACAATTCTTCACAGACCTTGAAAGAGCAATACTCAACTTCATATGGAATAACAGAAAACCCAGGATAGCCAAAACAATCCTGTACAATAAAGGATCATCTCGGGGCATCCCCATCCCTTACTTCAAAGCTCTACTATAGAGCTATAGTAATGAAAACAGCTTGGTATTGGCATAAAAACAGAGAGGTGGACCAATGGAATCTAATCAGAGACCCCAATAACAACTCACACACCTATGAACACCCAATTTTTCACAAAGAACTTAAAAATATAAAATGGGAAAAAAAAGAAAATATATTCATCATAAGTGAGGTAACCCAAAACCAGAAAGACAAATATAGTATGTACTCACTCATAAGTCGATAGCAGACATAAAGTCCATAATCCCAGAGAAGCTTGAAGCCTCTTCCAGAAACAGATGCAAACAGATGCAGAAATCCACAACTAGCCAATGGGCCAAGCTCCTGGAGCACAATGGAAGTGAGGGAGGATCGATAATATGAACAAAGGAGTCGAGACCATGATGGGGAAACCCACAGAATCAGCTGACCCAAGCTAGTGAGAGATCACTGACTCAGGTCTGACAAATGGAGACCCTGCCTAAGACCAAACTAGACTCCCTTAACATAGGTGACAGTGGTACGGCTGGGACAATATGTGAGGCAGTGGGTCCAAGATCTAACACTAATGCACAAACTGACTTAGTGGAGCCTATTCTACATGCAGAGATACCTTGCCCAGCCTAGTCATGGGGCTGTGGGGGTGGAGAGGTGCCATGGTCCTGTCTCAACGAGATGATGGGACAGACTGACTTAGTAGACTCCCTAAGGGAGGCCTTACCCTCTTCATGGAGCAGATGGGAGTGAGGGGAGTAGGAGGAGATGAGGTAAGAGGAACTGGGGTTGGAATATTAAATAAATGAACAAACAAACAAACAAATAAATAAATCCTCAAAAGTCTCCATGCTTATATTTTTCTGTTCCAGCTCTGAATTTATTTCTCCATAGAGACCTTTTCTTTTTATTGATACTTACACCAAAATCTGTGTGCTGGGTACGTCTAGACTCATGTTAGAGTTTAGAATACTTGTATGTGTACTAAGTCACATACACCGCACATGTTATCTATTGTCCATCCATCAGACACCAACCCCATTTTGTATTGATATCCCGGATTCTGATATTCATTTTAGCCTTTCTTGATCAATAACTTCTCTTTCAAATATAGTGTATTTATTTTCTTATTCAACCACTATATTCAATTAAAATAGACTCAGAATTCCTAACATATATCCTTGAGAGAAACAATTTTAAAAATCAGAGTGCTTTGTTTGTATACATTTGTTTTTGTCTTTACCCTTACAACATGCAGTCAAAACATTGTTTTCCAAGGTCAGCTCCCTTCATCCCTACCATCTCAGTGTGGTTATGTGATTCACTTTAATACCAGGTAAATTAATTCATTACCTGTTGACCCCCACCCCCTTCCTCCACACCTAAATACCTGGCTTGATTAGCTTTTTATATCCAGAAAATTTCACTAGGCTACTAAGCCAGTTTTGTAGAAGCAAAACAAGGTAATTCTCTGTCCCACATGTCTGTCTCTGAGCTGTATACCACAGAGCTTTCAGAATGGTTATAAAGTATGGTTCTTCTTCCCCAAAACAGACGAGTTTAGCTGGAAGTTCAGAATTCCCACATGCCAAAAGAATAACCAGAATAGTCAATCTGTGTATGTGGTCAAGATGGTATCACTGGTATCACCTAAGAGTAAGGGTTGAGTTATTTAGCACTCACAGGCCCTGCGCAATGAAGGAAGATGAGAAAAGTAGAGTATAAAGCCAAATCAGGGTAAGGGTAGAAAGACAGTGGCAGATGAACAAGCGCGCATGTGTGGAATGGCATAACATCTGGCCCTGAGCCCCTGCTCTGGTCAGATAAGCTACAAAGATTGGCAGGGAACAAACTTGGCAATGCTTCAAATGGCATTCGTTTAGCATGCAGCAAACACACAGTATTCTAATATGCAAATAGCTTTGCCACAGAGGAGATTTGTGGAAGAGTATATTGCCTCTGTGATTAGGTACAGCTTTGCTTAACAAGACATTATAACTTCAAAATTATTAATTAGTCCCATTCTCATCCCTAAGATGCATACAAAAGCTGGTTATGAGAGTCAAAAGGACTAGTGGGTATCCAACAGAAGATGCACACTAAGTAGAGAAGAGTTTATAGCACACCTATGTGTTCAATAATAATAGTTCTGTGAATAAAGTGTAAATTATCTAAATGTCCTTCAATAATCCTCCTACCTTTTTTAAAAAAAAATTATTATGTGTGTGAGTGTTTCTGTGTGTGGGGGTATACATGCCACAGCACACCTGTGGAGATCAGAGGAAAACTGTTAGGAGTTGATTTGCTCCTTCCAGAATATGGGTTGCAATGACTGAACTCAGGTCACCAGGCTGGTACGACGCACCGTTAGCTGTTGGGCTATCTTATTAGGCCTCTCTTACTTTCAAAAATCTCAAAAGATCTCTTCTTATCTATTACTTTTAAATTTCATTATTATTTCTAACTCCTTAAAAGAAATCATTAGAGGCTAGAGAGATGGCTCAGTGGTTATAAGCACTAGCTGGTTTTGCAGATAATCTAGGTTCAATTCTGGGTTCGGTTCCTAGAACCCACATGGTGGTTCACAAATGTCTGTAATCCAGTTCCATGGGATCTCATGTCTTTCCTAAACTGTACTGGTTCATATGTGCATAAGAGTAGTACCTGCTCTTTTTAGGCCCCTTCTGGTCATTTCTAAAAACTTTCTAGTTGGCTTCCTTTACCCAAGCCTTTAAAGCTTCTTATAGTCAGTTTATTCATATCACCTTAGGTTAATAGCTCCCAGAGAACTATAAATGCCAAACTTTATCTACCTAGACAAACTTCTAAATATACCCAGTGTTTGTTTTTACTATGTTTCTAGTACACAAAATGACATCAAGTCCTACCTACTTCATGCCTTTTCAATTGAATTCCTGCCATTATTCCTTCAAAAAGTTTGCAGAGTATATAGTGCATACAGAAAGAATAACTAAAAAGTATAACAGGTGCAGATGAGGATGGGTTAAGTGTATGTAGCAGAGGGGCCCTAAGCACCAACTTACCCTTCCTATTCATGCCCATCTGGAGACACTTGAGCAGGCGGCAGTACTGGCACCTGTTCCTCTGTTTCCGGGACATGACACAATTCTTGTCACGACTGCACCGATACACACGTTTGTTGCAAATACTCCTCTTGAAAAAACCTTTGCAGCCCTCACAGGAGATGATCCCATAATGCAAGCCCGTAGCACGATCTCCACAGATAAGACAGGTTCGTTGTTCAGCTCGATCATCTGGAACAGAAACTAAACATGTACAAGTTAGCACGCTGTGGAAACAACAATGTTAAGCTCATAGTTACTAAAACCTCTAGCCCTGCTTTGAGTAAATCAAAACTACCAACTCCAGGCTAACTGGTAAGTCATTTAAGTGCTATCACCAACCTCATCTAACTATGTTAACACCTTCTTCTTCTTCTTCTTCTTCTTCTTCTTCTTCTTCTTCTTCTTCTTCTTCTTCTTCCTCCTCCTCCTCCTCCTCCTCCTCCTCCTCCTCCTCCCTCCTTCCCTCCCTCCCTCCCTCCCTCCCTTCCTTCTTTTTCTTTTTTTAATGAGGTTTCTCTGTGTAGTCTTGGCCGTCATGGAAATGACTCTATAGACCAGGCTGGCCTCAAACTCACAGAGATCTGCCTGTCTCTGACTCCCAAGTGCTGAGATTAAAGGCATTTGCCACCATCACTACCTGGTTTGTGCCCTTAATCTATTAATGCAGCATTCTCCCTCTGTATTATTCCTAAAACACACTATGAAGAGTTGGGCAAAGTACTTTAAAGTCAAGACAAAAGCTCATAGCATGTGTAGTTGAGAAAGAGTTGAGGTCTTAATGTTAACAGGCATCTGAAACCCTAAATGAGTCTATTACCTATAAAAACATCAGAGGGTAACCTGTCTGGGAAAAGAAAATACTAATTTATCAGAGAGACTTATGTTTGTAGGTCTCAGACTTTAAACCCCTGTAAGCAGGACCTATAATACTTTGAGTTAATTTGCTGATCCCAAGTATAGGGTAGAAAACACACAAGATGGATGAGCTTTCTTATGCTATTCAAAATAATCATGAGGCCATGTCAAAAGGAAACATGAAACAATATGAAAACCTTTCAGGGCTGGAGAGATAGCTCAGCGGTTAAGAGCACTGTCTGCTCTTCCAAAGGTCCTGAGTTCAATTCCCTGCAACCACATGGTGGCTCACAAACCATCTATAATGAGATCTGGTGCCCTCCTCTGGCCTGCAGGCACACATACTTGGGAGGCAGAAGCAGGCCAATCTCTGTGAATTTGAAGCCAGCCTGGTTGACAGAGTGAGTTCTGGGACAGCCAGACAGGACAGTCCAGGTCAGACAGAGAAACCATGACTCAAATAAATTATTTTTCCTAAATATAAAAACCAGTACACTCACCAAGAACATTAAAAGTGAAGAGCTGCAGGGCTGGAGAGATGGCTCAGCAGTTAAGAACAGTGGCTGCTCTTCCAGAGGACCTGAGTTCAACTCCCAAACCCACAGATAACTGCCTACAGTTCCATTTTCAGGTGATCTGACACCCTCACACAGACTTACTTACATGCAAGCAAACGAGTGCACATGAAATAAAAATAAAAAAAGAAAAAAAAAAAAAAGAAAAATGAAAAGCCTCATTAGCTATCACTGAATTTAAACTGCTATTAAAAAAATAGATGAAATAAAATAGGGAGTGGGATCAAGCATTTAAAAAAAGATTACTAGAATTGTCACCTGTTATTCCTTACCCCAACAGTAAGAGAAGGGAGCAAGAATAGAAAGACAGTTCATAAATTCTAAACTATTGAACTTCAAGCCTGGTAGAGAATTATTAGGATTTGGTGAGCAGCTAGATATGCATGGCATGGTGGAGAAACAACTAGTTTGAGGGCCACCACATAGGCAGAGACAAGAGAAGGGGACAACCTTGGCTTACAATGTTCTAGAACAGAGGCAGGACAAATGAGGTCAAGACTTTAGACCTCTGAGTTCAAAACTAGGCTCTGGCACTTGCTGTGTGAAAGGAAAGGCAAATTCTGGAGTGTAAGTAGCTACCAGTAAAACAAGTGAAGGTACAGAAGAGGGTGTAACCAGAAGAACCACTGATAGGCCTCTTCAACTTGGGTTTACTGAGAAGAGTCAAGCTCTTTTCTAAAGTACCAAAATAATTCACTTGATCCACCAAACCAGCATAATGAGCAATAGGGAAACTGTCCAGAGATACAATAAGGTTATGTTACCCTAATATGGCAGAGTCATGACCTCACCATAATCTTATTCTGCAAATTATTTTGTTTTTGATGCAGGATGCCATGTAGGTGACACTGGTTTTGAACTCTTGATCCTTCTGTCTCCACACTTAGTGTTGCGATTATAAGCATGTGTCACCATGTTTTGGTATTTGCAAAATATTGTTAATCAGCAGTAAGTAAAACATTAGCCTCATAGTTACATGCAGTATGCAAGAGAGGGGAAAGAATGGCGGAGTGGTGGTGAAAAGAAAGCTTAGAAATTTAAGTAAAATAACAAAACCACACATTTCTGGGCGAGGGGGGACCCTACATGTAGCCTTTATACATGTAGTTTTAGGAGCAATCTTAAGAACTTTTCTGTACTTCAAAATTACTGTGAACAAATACTGTAATGTTGACTATTGCTTTTTTCAAACTTCTACTAAAGACAGTTAAGAACAGATCTAGAGCTCAAAGTTTCCATAGACAAATTAATACTCAGATGCAGAAATGTCAAATTCAAAAGAAACACTGAAAATGATAATGTTAGCTGACTAAGCCCAGCCACATTGTTTTAGAGCATGCCTGACACACATCTGTTTAAACAGATGTATGTATTCATCTTCACATCACTTAGGAGGAACAAAAAGGCAAGTGGTTCAGCTGGGTGGTAGAGGTGCACACCTTTAATCCCAGCACTCGGGAGGCAGAGGCAGGTGGATCTCTGAGTTCAAGACTAGCCTGGTCTACAAGAGCTAGTTCCAGGACAGCTTCCAAAGCCACAGAGAAACCTTGTCTCAAAAAACCAAACAACAACAACAAAAACAAAGCAAGTGGTTCATTAATCTGATTGGAATTGTACAAAACTTTTGTTTCATAAAAGTGGCAGGACCTTTCAATAACATCGCATTTAACCTAAGTTACTATGAAGACAAATTTCAGAGAATTAACAGTAACATCTGGTGCCAAGTCCACCATGAAAAGGTATATTTTTGTTTTTAAGTTCTGGAATTTGAATCTAGGCCCTCCCTTGTTTGTTAGTTTGTTACATACAGATTTGCTAAATTAAATACGCAAGCCTTGGATATGTAATCCACTAGGCTTCAGCCTCCCAAGTAGTTGAGATAATATCCTACACCAACTGGTCTAGCTTGTATTCTTTTTAATAAAGTGTGTAATAGTATGACTTAGTTAAGAGTTTTCAAAATTACAAATTACAACACATAGCATTGTAACTTCTGAAAAGAAAAATAGAAACTATCAGGTGGAAATAAGACACCTAACATTGAGCCCCCCCCCCCTTTCTTTCAAGACAGGGTTTTTCTTTGTAGCCCTGGCTATCCTAGAACTAGCTCTGTAGATCAGGCTGGCCTCGAACTCACAGAGATCTGCCTATCTCTCCCTTTCAAGTGCTGGGATTAAAGGCATTTGCCACCACTATAGATGGACTCCAACATTGACTCCTGGCTTTCACATATGCATTTATATGCACACACATATATACATACTACAAACAAGTATATACACACATACCATATATATATACATGTACAAAAGAAAATAGAATGTTTCACCTGTAGTAAGGGTAAAATATCATTAAATTTGTTTCACTTAAAGCATGCACATTTGTCTGAATGCATACTGTTTATGTACACATAAGTAGGAGACTACTACATCCCAATGAGCAATGTATCAAGTACTAAACAGTTCAAAATATACTGACCTACTGTTTACGACTGAAGCTGGAGCCAGGTCTTAATACCAGTTTAACACAAGCCTTAATACCAGTACTCAGCAAATGAAGACAGGAGGATTTTTGTGCTTTCAAGGCCCACCTGGTCTATGTAGAGATTCCAGGCCAGCCAGGGCTATGTAGAAAGACTCTTTTCAAAACAAACAAACAAAAATACTGGTGCTAGCTGGACTGTGGTGTTGCACACCTTTAGTCCTAGCACTCAGGTAGCTGAGACAGGGGGATCTCTGTATGAGGCCAGCATGGTTCCAAGATAGCCAGGACTGTCACACAAAGAAACCCTATCTTGAAAAACCACAAACCAAACCAAACCAAACAAAAAACAACCTGGAGCTGGGTATAGTGGTACATACCTATAATTCTAGGACTTGGTAGGGAATAAAGTGTCTCAGTCTGGACTACCTAAGAGTGCTTGTATCAAAAACAAAATACAACATGCACACGTACACGCAACATGCTTCTTCCTAGCTTTGTAACTATGGGAAAATGGCTGACTTTTCTGAGCCTCACTCACTAGTACACGCAACATGCTTCTTCCTAGCTTTGTAACTATGGGAAAATGGCTGAGTTTTCTGAGCCTCACTCACTATAAAACACTTATGCAACAACATAGGTGACTTGTATAAAAATGTTTGGCCAAGGGGCTGGAGAAATGATGCAGTGGGTAAGAGCACTGTCTTCCATAGAACCCAGGTTAATTGCTAGCATCTGCATGGCAGCTCACAACATTTGTATCTTTACTTCCAGAGATCCAAAACCCTTTATTGGTCTCCTGGAGCACCAGGCATGTACATGGTACACAGACTTACATAAATACAGGTAAAAAACAAAACAAAACAAAAAACCCTAATAATAATAATAATAATAATATAAAAATGATGATTTTTGTTCAAAGTAGAAAGAAATACATACTATAGATTTTCATTTTATTAAGTTTTAAAGAAACTGGTAAAAAAGAGAATTATATAGTATGAAAAGTAGGAGTGTTAGAACACCTTTAGATTCTGGAAATGTTCTATTTCTTGACCTGAGTGGTGCTTGCTTTGTCAAGTATTTCATATACTTTTCTCTCAGTGTTCATATGTTACAATAAGAGTCAAAAGCAAAACATGAAATACTCCAGAAAGGTAAATAACATAAAAAAATAGCAAAAGGAGGGTATATTTGAAGAAACTGCATCAAATATTAATACCACATACTAATATCAGAACACAAGGCTTAGAAAAGCTAGTTTAGAATGAAATGCAATACAGATTTCTGCTG